AATGGATCCTCTGCAGTGAATGGGTGCCGTCAGAATGAGAGTCCAAACAGCTGATAAAAACATCACAATAATCCACACGTAATGCAAGTAATTCATAAACGGCATGTCTGTAATTAACAGATCCATAAAGATGCTTTTAACTTTAAACCATTGCTTCTGGCTAAAACATGAGTTCATAATCCATAATATTGCTTTCTCCAGTAAAATTGTTGTCTGAATCAGGAGAGAAATGTGCACAGATCAAGCACTGTTATATGATATAATAAATAAATATGCCTTGATGGATTTGTTTCTTACAAACACAGCTTTTGGCTACATAAGACATTAACTGATGGACTGGAGTGGTGTGGATTATTGTGATGTTGTTATCAGCTGTTTGGACTCTCATTCTGACGGCACCCATTCACTGCAGAGCATCCATTGCTGAGCAAGTGATGGAATGCTACATTTCTCCAAATCTGATGAAGAAACAAACTCATCTAGATCTTATATGGCCTGAGGGTGGGTACATTTTCAACAAATTGTCATTTTTGGACGAACTATTCCTTTAACTCAACCAATGGTGCGAGTTTGGCACTGTTCGTCCAACAATGGCAGATGGGTGTTCAAGAAACCTGTGAATAAAATCATTATTTATTCAGCTTTTTGACAAAATATACTTCAGTTGGATACCACAAAAAGTCACATTTCTGCTGCATTTCAACTTCCCATCAGAGCAAATGTGCGGTGTCACTAGATGTTTGCTGCGTCGCCGCCACGTGCCTGACCGTTTCTTCGCTGTCCTGTTCCAAGAGTCTGTGATTCTGTAGTGGCGTATCTACAATGTCGACAGTGCTTCTCTCCTCATGGTCCCCAGAGGAAATGACGGCAACGTACCGGTCGTCCTCTGCATCTGTGCTCTTGTGAACATCCGCCGTCACTACTGAAGTGTCTGTGGTTTGCCGACTACAGGAGGGTGAGGATGTGAGCACAGGGCCCTCCGCCGCCTCGCCGGATAACTCCTCTTCCTCCTCGAGGAAGCTGGTGTTGATGTAGATGATGTCCTTGCTGCTGGAAACCGCGGGAAGCTTCCCTGCCAGATTCTCCAGCCTCTTCCTAACCTGTGTGAAGTCGGGTCGGTCCACTGGATCAGCGCTCCAGCAGCTGAACATGATGCCATAACTGAAGCACAAGAGCACAGGACATGCTATGAGATTCAGATTCAGTACTGTTTAAGTCTGGGCTCTGGCTAGGCCATGCAAGGACATTGCAAAGCAACAAAATGTGATTATTTTAAAGGGGGGTGATTCTGTTCTATACCCACTGTATGCAAATCTGTTATACTGTTATAAAGATCTCACTGATTTATATTACAAGCATCAGAATTTCATCTTACTTTTTAGCGCTATATCATCATCTGCACCAAACTGCATATTTTTGCTCAGTTTGGGCAGTTTTTCCTCCTCAAGTATGAGCTCCATATTCTCAATCTATCATACTATATGAGCCATAAATGCCTGATGTATCAAATATGACACAAAACATTAAAAAAACCATATGCAAACTTTTTTTTGTCTAAATGTTCAATAAAATGCTCCATTTAAAAATATATATTTCTTTCTCATATCAGGCTTTACTTCATACTATATGAGCCATAAATGCCTGATGTATCAAATATGACACAAAACATAAAAAAAACCATATGCAAACTTTTTTTTGTCTAAATGTTCAATAAAATGCTCCATTTAAAAATATATATTTCTTTCTCATATCAGGCTTTACTGGTTTTAAATGATTTCGAAAGAGGTCTCTAGATTTGACCAAAAATACAGTAAAAACAGTGATATTGTGAAATATTATTACATAATAATGGATCCTCTGCAGTGAATGGGTGCCGTCAGAATGAGAGTCCAAACAGCTGATAAAAACATCACAATAATCCACACGTAATGCAAGTAATTCATAAACGGCATGTCTGTAATTAACAGATCCATAAAGATGCTTTTAACTTTAAACCATTGCTTCTGGCTAAAATATGAGTTCATAATCCATAATATTGCTTTCTCCAGTAAAATTGTTGTCTGAATCAGGAGAGAAATGTGCACAGATCAAGCACTGTTATATGATATAATAAATAAATATGCCTTGATGGATTTGTTTCTTACAAACACAGCTTTTGGCTACATAAGACATTAACTGATGGACTGGAGTGGTGTGGATTATTGTGATGTTGTTATCAGCTGTTTGGACTCTCATTCTGACGGCACCCATTCACTGCAGAGCATCCATTGCTGAGCAAGTGATGGAATGCTACATTTCTCCAAATCTGATGAAGAAACAAACTCATCTAGATCTTATATGGCCTGAGGGTGGGTACATTTTCAACAAATTGTCATTTTTGGACGAACTATTCCTTTAACTCAACCAATGGTGCGAGTTTGGCACTGTTCGTCCAACAATGGCAGATGGGTGTTCAAGAAACCTGTCTGAATAAAATCATTATTTATTCAGCTTTTTGACAAAATATACTTCAGTTGGATACCACAAAAAGTCACATTTCTGCTGCATTTCAACTTCCCATCAGAGCAAATGTGCGGTGTCACTAGATGTTTGCTGCGTCGCCGCCACGTGCCTGACCGTTTCTTCGCTGTCCTGTTCCAAGAGTCTGTGATTCTGTAGTGGCGTATCTACAATGTCGACAGTGCTTCTCTCCTCATGGTCCCCAGAGGAAATGACGGCAACGTACCGGTCGTCCTCTGCATCTGTGCTCTTGTGAACATCCGCCGTCACTACTGAAGTGTCTGTGGTTTGCCGACTACAGGAGGGTGAGGATGTGAGCACAGGGCCCTCCGCCGCCTCGCCGGATAACTCCTCTTCCTCCTCGAGGAAGCTGGTGTTGATGTAGATGATGTCCTTGCTGCTGGAAACCGCGGGAAGCTTCCCTGCCAGATTCTCCAGCCTCTTCCTAACCTGTGGGAAGTCGGGTCGGTCAACGGGATCAGCGCTCCAGCAGCTGAACATGATGCCATAACTGAAGCACAAGAGCACAGGACATGCTATGAGATTCAGATTCAGTACTGTTTAAGTCTGGGCTCTGGCTAGGCCATGCAAGGACATTGCAAAGCAACAAAATGTGATTATTTTAAAGGGGGGAGATTCTGTTCTATACCCACTGTATGCAAATCTGTTATACTGTTATAAAGATCTCACTGATTTATATTACAAGCATCAGAATTTCATCTTACTTTTTAGCGCTATATCATCATCTGCACCAAACTGCATATTTTTGCTCAGTTTGGGCAGTTTTTCCTCCTCAAGTATGAGCTCCATATTCTCAATCTATCATACTATATGAGCCATAAATGCCTGATGTATCAAATATGACACAAAACATAAAAAAAACCATATGCAAACTTTTTTTTGTCTAAATGTTCAATAAAATGCTCCATTTAAAAATATATATTTCTTTCTCATATCAGGCTTTACTGGGGTTAAATTTTTTTTTTTTTTAAAGTTCAATTTACCGGAGATGCAAAATTGCATAACATAATAAAACTTATTTTCAGAAAATGTATCTTGAGCTAAAAAAGAAAGTCGTTTCTGGTGGAGCAAATAAATCTATTTTCATAATAGACAACCTTTTCTTGTCTTTAGAATAATGTACTGGTAAAGTGTTCACTATAGTAAATACGGTCTCTTTTGATTTCATATTAACATTTTTGTACAGGATATCTATGCACACTTTCAACACACAGTTTTAAAATGAACTCACAGTTCATCCAGACAGTCATTTGGTTGTTTCAGCCGGTTTCCCTCGAGGAGATAATCGTAAATCTCATGGTTTTGTACGCCAGGGTATGGGGTCATTCCTCGAGTGGTTATTTCCCACATGGTCACTCCAAACGCCCACTAAAAATGACATTAAGAGATAATAAACATCAACAACTGTTGTAGACCTTCTGCAAAACAAGCTGCCAAAAACCCTGACTACAGCTGATAACTAGGAAGTCTGTGCCACATGAACAGGCATTTTCTGTATCAAAGTTGCATTACAGTTCCAAAGTATGAGGTCAGTATCATTTTAACACTTTTATTCAGAGAAGATTCATTCAAATGGTCAAAAGTGGCAGTAAGAATTTTATAATGTTACAAAAGATTTCTATTTCAAATAAATGCTGTTCTTTTGAACTTTCTATTCATCAAAAAATCCTGAAAAAAAAGTATCACAAAGTGGTACACCCATTTTCAACATTGATAATAATAAGAAATGTTTCTTAAGCAGCAAATAAGTATATTAGAATGATTTCTGAAGGATCATGTGACACTGAAGACTGGAGTAATGATGCTGAAAATTCAGCTTTACATCACAGGAATAAATTACATTTTACACTATATTCAAATAGAAAACAGTTATTTGAAATTGAAATAATATTTTAGAATATTACTGTTTTTACTGTATTTATGATCAAATAAATGCAGCCTCGGTGAGCAGAAGAAACTTAAAAATAAATAAATGGTATTTTGAATGGTAATTTGTGTAAAATAGAATGAACTACAAAGTTAACCGAGCAGTTGTAGAGACGAAATTTGATAAAACAGAACAATGAAGATGACTGTGATGACAGTTTTTACCACATCACTTTTCACCGTGAAGACTCTGTCAGCGAGGCTTTCCACAGCGATCCATTTGACAGGCATCTTGGCTATCCGGCCCTGTCTGTAATAGTCACCACTGTAGATTTTCTTTGACAGGCCAAAATCAGCAACACACACGCTCATGTCATCACGTAACCTGGATGAAATAAAATGTAAATTGCTTAAAACAAACACAGAGGTTTCAATGGTTCAAATAAACAGACATAAAATCCCCTCAAGCATTTTGAATGTTTTTCAAAAAAGTCTCTTATGCTCACCAAGGCTGCATTTATTTGATTAAAAACACAGTAAAATCACGAATATTGTGAAATATTATTACGATTTAAAATAACTGTTCACTCTTTGAATCTATTTTAAAATGTAATTTATTCCTGTGATGCAAAGCTGAATTTTCAGCATCATTACTTCAGTCTTCAGCGTCACATGATCCTTCAGAAATCATTCTAATATGCTGATTTGCTGCTTATGAAACATTTACTATTATGTTTATTTGTGGAATCCATGATACATTTTTTTTCCAGGATTCTTTGATGAATAGAAAGTTCAAAAGAGCAGCATTTATTTGAAATAGAAATCCTTTGTAACATTATAATGTCTTTACTGTCACTTCTGATCAATTTAATGCATCCTTGCTGAATTAAAGTATTAATTTCTTTACCAAAAAAAACATCTTAATGACCCAAAACGTTTGAACAGAAGTATAAAATGAAAGACTAAAGACTAAAATTAAATATGTGACCCTGGACCACAAAACCAGTCCTGATCAATTTAATGCATCCTTGCTGAATAAAAGTATTAATTTCTTTACCAAAAAAAAAAAAAAACATCTTAATGACCCAAAACATTTGAACAGAAGTGTGAATAAAATGAAAGACTAAAGACTAAAATGAAATATGTGACCCTGGACCACAAAACCAGTCTTAAAGGGATAGTTCACCCAAAAATGAAAATGTGATGTTTATCTGCTTACCCCCAGGGCATCCAAGATGTAGGTGACTCTGTTTCTTCAGGTGAGCACAAACGAAGATTTTTAACTCAAACCGTTGCAGTCTGTCAGTCTTATAATGGAGGTGAATGGGAATCACAGCTTTGAGAGTAAAAAAAAAATCATACACAAACAAAACCAAATGAAACCCTGCGGCTCGTGACGATACATTGATGTGTAAAGACACGAAACGATCGGTCTGTGCAAGAAA